TTTTTGCGGAACTGGGGATTGAACTCAGGCCCTTGCACTTGCCAGGGAAGCACTTATTCCACTGAGCCATCTCCCTGGCCCCTCACAAATGTTTACATATAAAAATATTCATCAGTACTCAGAGTAAAAGACAGTTGTTCATTTTCTGATTGACCTCGGAGAGTTCTTCAGATGTTCTGATGTGTATGTAAATCCTTTATGAGATTTGTTGTTGTTGTTGTTTATGTATTTGGTACAGAGTCTCACTATGCAGCTCAGACCTGTAGTGATTATTCTGTTTTCAACCTCCCCAGAGCTGAGATTACAGATGTGTCACTGTGCCTGGTCTAGGTAACAGGCTCAGGGGGCTGGGGATCAAATCTTGGTTTCTGTGCTTTGCCTAAGCAGGCACTTAGTCTGCTAAGCTATCTTGATGGCCCTTTTTTGAGTTTTTTTTTCCTTGGAACCAGGGATTAAACTTGGGACCTTGTGCTTGCCAGGCAGATGCTTATGCCACTGAGCTATTTCCCTAGCTTTTATTAGATTGCTTAAAAATATTGTCTCCCAATCTGTGCCTTGTCTGTGCCTAGCAGTATTGTTTAAAAAAAAAAAAAAAAAAAAAGACTTTCTTTTGATAAGATAAATTCATCAGTGTTGTTATGCAGTGGATTATCTAATTAAGTCTTTGCCTGTACTAAAGTCACATGTTTTCTCCTGTTTCATTTAAGCCTGTGATCTACTTTGAGTTAATTTTAATATATATGAGTTATGGTCTGTGCCTTGTTTTTTGTATATGAATGTCTAGTTTTCCAGTATCCTCTACCAAATTAAATACATGTGTGTGGACCGATTTGTAGCCCCAGCATCCTGTCTCTTTGTGCTCTGTGTCAGTTCTTTTGTCGGTACTACACTGTCTTGATTCTTGTAGTTTTGTGAGAAGTTTTGGCTATAGATTATGGGTCCTCCAACTTTGATCTTTTTTTCCAAGATTGTTTGGCAAGTCTCCATTACATATAAATGCATATAAATTTTACAGTGAGCTTGTCATTTTCTCAAAAAAAAAAAAAAAAAAAAAAAAAAAAAAAGTACAACAGGCTTTTGATCATATGACAGTCAATCCAAACTCAGATGCTACAAAACTGAAAAAGTTCTTGTTTGGGGGTTTAGGAATTGCCATTTGGGAGACAGGTCCAGATAGCTCTCAGTCAGCATTCCAGGAAACGAGGATTAGTAGGGGCTTATAGGTAGTGGTGGCAAATCTGTGGCCTTTCTTCTAAGACAAAAGATGTTAATGTATGAGTTGTTTTTCCTAAACTGAAACCTCAGTGTGCAGGTTTAATTGAGTGTTGGTACTTTGCAGTAAGTAAACAGGCTTTGGGTTGGCACTCGGTCTCTAAATGGCTCACTGTTACTGTCACTGGGCTCCTGAATGTTGAGAAGCAGGGAATTGGTGGGGATAGATATGGAGATGTCTGAACAGAGTGGACATGTCCACAGTCAGAAGCCCACCTCTGTATGTATGCCTTGACCCCCTGGGTACAGCATAGCTGTCTGATCATTCAGGTGGTTAGGTCCAGGCAAGTGCCTGCAGGTCGAAGGAAGGAGGCGTCCTAGGCAGCGACTGGAGCCCTGCATGCCTCCTGCCCCCTCGGAACCTCCTGACTCCAGTTTGAAATGCTCTTTCCACATTGCTTTCATAGTCATTTTCCTCTTTATTTTCACATGTCAAATCTGTAAGTTAGGTTTGTGGGGAAATAACATTATAACACCATGGGCTCTTGCAGTCATGCAAATGATGTACCTGTCCATTTATTTAGGTCTCTCAGTTTTCCTCAAGATTCTTCATACACTGTGAAAAGTTGGTCTTCTATATTCCTGGGACGGTGTTAGCACAGCCGTCCCTAACACTTACTGACTTACCCTCTCTTGGCTACTGTGTCTTCCAAGCCTCTCACCCACTCCTGCTCACTCCATGGCTTATGATGGGTGACTCTATTTATTTTAAAGTTTTTAGCCTTTTATCAGGATATACATGCAGAGCACTATGTATGGGGACATCTCAGTAGATGTTTGCAAGAGAAGAACACAAGGTCAAGACAGAATTATCAGAAACCTGAGAGCTACCCGTGAGCTCCTCTGGTCCTGAGAAGAGGAACCACAGTCTCAGCTTGTGCATCCGGAGAGTTCTGTTCTGGCTTAGCTGTAGGGGAAATCTGGATCCTAAAATGTGCCTATCGTGTATCCCAGCTGCAGCGGTTGCTGCTGTTTGACTATAAGCACCCCCGAGGTATTTTTTTAAAGATTTATTTCTTTATTTATTTGGTATAGGGTCTCACTGCACAGCTCAGACTCATAGTGATCCTCCTGTCTCAGCCTCTCCAGCTCTGGGATTACAGGCATGTGTCACCATGCCTGGTTTTGGGGCTGGCATGACATGCTGGCAAATTATGCAGTACCAGGGATCAAACCCGGGTCCTTGCGCTTGCCAGGCAGGCACTTAGACCATCGAGCTATTTCCCTGGCCCCTGAGGGTTTTTTTTCGTACCATGCCTTACCTGGGGCCTTGGGGATGCAAGGAGATGAGTAGTTGTTTATTGGGTGGATGTGGTGCCCCAAAAGGTGGTGGTCCCCGCCCTGAGTGGCTCTCCTAGCTTTCAGTCTCCTGGCTTCTTTCCAAGCTCCCATGTTGTTCCTTTGTGTTGCTCTGACTTGTTATGGTATTTTTCTTTCTACTCTACTGCCAGAGCAAGTAAGACAACATGGCTCTTCGGACTGTTTTTGCATCCCTGTGAATAGCAAGATGGGATGTCCTCCATTCTTGTCCTGTTTCCCTGCAAGATCTGGGAATCCCACCACCTTGTACAGTTCAGAGCACACACGTGCCCTAGTCTGAGAGCCGAATGAACCTTTCCTGTGTTCCCCTTACCGCCAACTCCTTCAGATGCCTTCCAGCTTTGGAAGTATTCACATATGCCAAGGTTTTTGCTCCATGTCAAAGTGAGCTGCTCCTGAATCTAATGATTGAGAGTTCTTTTCTGTAACATTGGGGCCATGGAGGCTGAATGTGAGAGAGGGGTAGGGGTAGGGGTAGAAGAGATTGTACTTCACTGGGCTTCAGACTGAATGAAGGTAATAAATCCATGTATTGTAGCAGGAGGAGAGAGGAGTTGATCTGAGTGGTTCTGTTAACAATTGGAGTGGATTGCACCCGCCTGGAGAGAGGGCCACCCTTACCAGCTCGGCAGAGGCTGGTTATTGCATCTCTTGGTTATTGAGTGATTCATGTCTAATGGGGCAGCTTTGATGCATTCACTTAACCATTGTCCCAGACAAGCCCAGCAGCTGGGGAGTCCGAGCCTATCCCCATCTTCCACGTTACTCTGGGAGAGAAGAGTAGGCATGCCAATAGGGAAGCATCCAGAGGGACTCGGGAGTCTAAGGGTAGGGACATGGGGTAGAGGCTTGGAGATTTGCCTCTGTGTGCCAGATGTCCCCAGTCAGGCAGGTCTTCTGTGCACTTCTACAATGATGGGCCCCCAGGGACAGGGTGAGGAGCAGGGTGACACTGGCCTGTGGCCCCAGAGGTAGGCAGGGTCTTGTCTGATGCCCGTGGCAGGCCTGGGCAGGAAGGTTGTACCCATCACCCTCTGTCCTCCAGGAGAAGATCGGCTGGCGCAAGGATGCCCTGCACTTGCTGGTGCTCACAACGGACGATGTGCCCCACATTGCTCTCGATGGGAAGCTGGGTGGCCTAGTGCAGCCACACGATGGCCAGTGCCACCTGAGTGATGCCAATGAGTACACCGCATCTGACCAGATGGTGAGGCGAGTGGTTCATACATCTCCTGGGCCAGGGCCTGGGGTCTGGGGCTCACCTGCCTCCCAAATCTTCTGGGCCTCGGGACTCCTTGAACTTCCTGTTTGTCCTTGGGATTAAGTTTCATTCATTATCCTGGCTTCTCCAAGTGGGTTTCTGCGCTCCTTGTTAATTTAGCATGTCTCAGGGATGTCTGTAGTGGGTGTGTCTGTCTGCCATTGTACCTGAATAAGAGTGTCTCTGTAGGGAATCGGGACTGGGGGAGGTAGGAGAGACTTTATGGGGGATGTGTTCTCCAGCAGAGTCATACTGAGGGGAGGCGTTGCAGGACAAGACTAGCTTACTCTAGAAGGCTCCGTGTCACATCAGAAGTGGACAGCAGGTGGCCTGTGTGGAATGGGAGGCCTCAAGGACCCACTACTCCTGATAGTCTATGACTGGGATGACTTAATTTGAAAAGACTTATACAGCTTTTCAAGCATGTACTCCTAGACCAGTACTATGAACACCTGCCTATTCCTAGCCCCACTGTGGTCAAGATCTTTGCCAGACTGCTGCTATGCAGACTTTTTTTTTGAATTCTGGACCTTCCTCTTTCCTGAGCCCATGCTGGGATCTGGCCAGAGAGGAGTTCTTTCCTGCTGTCTTTGCTGGCCAAGGCCATTTTCTGATTTTAACAGGTAACCAGACCCAAGCTTCCAAACTTTGGCTATGGACTGGGAAAGAACTTGGATCTACGGCATCCACCCGAGTGTCAGCAGCCCTTGAAAGCCTTAAGGCCCTGCTCTGCTGCCTCTCCACCAGCCCCTTCCCCTGTACCTCTCCCCTGGGGACTGACCTTTAGTACAGAGATCAGCAGCCTGCTCTTCCATGATCAGGATGGTGGGTTGACAGCTGTAGGGCATAAAGAGAAGAGAATCTGTAGGGAAGATAACACGTGCTGAAGGCCACAGGGATCAGGTGGCTGTTAGGCTCCCTGGGTTGCCATCCTTGCTGAAAGGATGGACACAGATGAGACACAGAAGTGCGCTGATCTTCACATCCCACTTGGGGTTTGGTGGGCACCCAAGGGCCCTCTTCATGGTGATGTCCCCTGCACCATCCCTCAGTTAGGACACACCGAGGGCTTGTTGCAGAGAGGCTTTTTGGGCCACCTGGAAAAGGTGCTTCTCTGTGGCCAGCACCAAGCAGCAGAGTGTGGGTGGGAGCAGGTGCTACTGGCCCCTCTGCCTGTCAGAGCGGCTCAGCCTTGATTTCTGCCCTGGCCCTAGGACTACCCATCCCTTGCCTTGCTTGGAGAGAAGTTGGCAGAGAACAACATCAACTTGATCTTTGCTGTGACGAAGAACCACTATATGCTGTACAAGGTATGCTTGGAGGGAGGGGAGGAGTGGGGCTGGGAGCCAATCCTAGCGGCCACATTGACCCTAAAGCCAGTGGCTTGGAATGGAGTGGGGGCTAGGAGTATTCACAGTCCAATTCTAGGGGGCAGAGTCAAAGGGGTGGTGCACTGTAGCGCTGTCTTGATCTAGTGGACAACTACAGTACTAAGGAAATGCTTAAGTATTCACATAGCCATGAATAGTTTCACAGGGAATTAAACATATTGCATTTAATTTGATTATGAGAAAAACCTTGAAAATAATACTAATTTTTACTTTTAGAGAATGAAATCAAAATACACAGAAGGACACTAAGAGAGAAGGAAAATACAAAATGAAAATGTGTAGAAAGGAGCCAGGTGTGGTGGTATAGGCCTGTAATAATAGCACCGAGACTGAGGCAGGAGGGTCTCAAGTTTGAGCCCAGCCTGGGCAGCTCAGTGACTATCTCAAAAGTTAAAAGGGTTAGGGGTGTAGCTTAGTTATAGAAGCCCTGTATTCAATCCTCAATACCACACACACACACATACAAAGTGCAGAGCCAGGCCTGTTGGAGCATACCTGTAACAGTAGCACTTGGGAGGCTGAGGCAGGAGAATCACTGTGAGTTTAGTGCCTCAGTGCTGACCTGAGTTACATAGTGAGTTCAAGGCCATCCTGAATTACATAACAAAAAAAAAAGCCTCAGGAAATTGAGTCAGCCTCTGTCACTAACGTAGTACTCTATGCGTTCCCTGTGGTAGATGAGGGCTGGTCTGGTCAGGTATTCCCCGAAGAAGGTCTTGAGTGAACAGAGTAGTCTGTGTGGGTCTGTTCCATCTGCTGGGGCTTTTCCCACCTTATCCCTTAGACCAGCACTATCAGCACCCTCTTTCCTGTAGTTACAGGCGAGTCCCATACTAAGCTCAGGACCCCGAGCTCTACCAGGAGAGCAAAACCTGTGCCGTCCGTCCTTCGAGGGGGGAAGGGCTCTGTGAGACCTCTTACAAAATCTGGTATTATCATTGATGGAAACACTGCAGCCGCCTGCCTGAGTGCTTGGTGCTCCTGGAGGACCTCCTGCTGGAGTTAGATAGGCTACACCAGGCGAAGGTGGCTGTTTTCCTTTTGCCTGGTGGAACATCACAGCATCTCCATTTATAAACCATGTTTTTAGAGGGATTCAGTGCACATACATCTGAGCTTCCAGATGTTTCAAGAGGGAAGAGATCCTTCTAGGCCTCAACTGCGCTTTCTCAGAACTACATCCCTGGGCTCAAGGGAGGGAGGCCCTCGAGCTCTCTGAAGGTTGAGTGTAGGGGGCTTTGGTCCCTGCTGTGGGGATGTGCCAGGAGCTGGCACAAGCAGAAGAGGGCAGGCTGCCACTTTGTCTGGGGCCTCACCCAGGTAATGAGAGGTCCTGGGGGGTTTCTTTCAGCTCCCTGTTGAGAAAAGAGCACATACTGGGGACCCCAGAGCAAGTTGCCTCTGTAACTGTGTGGACAACAGGGCCTCCAAGGAGACCAGGAAACAACCAGAAGAGAAGCAGGAAAGGCAGGCTGAGCTCAGGCCAGACTGTTAGAGAGTAGTCTCCTCTGGGCCAGCAGGGAGTGGCCTCCAAGACTGCCGCAGGGCAGGTTGCTGCAGCTTGCCTCCCTTGAGTGTCCTCTGCCCTTTGTCGTGCACAGGAGAAGCAAAACTAAGAATTGGGTGCTCCCTGTCCGAGTCATTTGCATAGTGATGATGCTGAAGGAATGGAAGGCAGATGACTTAATTCTTGTCTTTTTTTTTTTTTTTTCTTTAAGAACTTTACAGCCCTGATACCTGGAACCACAGTGGAGATTTTACATGGAGACTCCAAAAACATCATTCAGCTGATTATAAATGCGTACAGTGTAAGTCATTTACTTTGCCCCACACCACTACCTGCTGCTGTCCTCTGCCACGGCCGTTGGGCCTGATGTGGGTTCCAGTGGGTATTGCACCATCTCCTGGCATTTCCTCTGCCCCCTGCCCTCCTGAGTTGGACTCCTTGCCCCCACACCCATGCCTAATGCATCCCTCTTCCCTGTCCTCTGCCATATCACCTGTCCTCAGCTGGTCCTACACCCTGCATCGGTGCTAGTGCTCTGCACTCCCCAGCAGGCCCTGCATGGCATTCCTTCCCTGTGTGAGGTGTGAGGCAGCAGGTCATCGCCACCTCAGCTGCGTGCTCTGGAAGCGGAGGTCTGCACCTGCACCCACATCCAACCTCTCCTGCCTTGCAGCGAGGGAAAACCTTCAGTCCCGTGGTGCACAGCTGAGAGCTGTGGACTCACACTGGAGAGAGGGACTTGAGAAGAGCCAATAAACTGGGGGTTTACCCACACACTTGGGCTGACTGTGACAGTCCCTCCAGAGATCTGAGTGGGCCTGTGAAATTATGTGCTCTTGTAGCCCATTGCGAGAACTTGGCTCTAATGTAAGACTGAGCCTTGTAGACCTGATTTAGGCTTCATTTCCACACCCCAAATTAATCAGCCAAAGAATCGTTTCTAAAACCTTTCTTATTCCCACCTCCTCCTCCCAGTTCATAATAGTCAAGAAATACTTGCCTTGGGCCTGCAGTCCCTCAGGGCACCCAAGCACTAGTCTGTGTCTGGGAAGTGTACGCCCCAGAGCCCTCTCCCAGTGTGGACTCAGAGTCCAGAACCCCACCACACCCCCAAAGGGCAGGATAATCACATGTCTTGAGAAAAATTACCTTGTTCTCTGGCAGTGAAAGACCTGTCAGTCGTCTCAGCAGTGCCCCTGTTTGATGACAGTTATTGTTCTGCTAGACTAGGAGCTTGAAGCAGCACCCTAGCCACAGGCCAGTGCTGTCAGCTCTGAGCTCAGACTGTGCACTCGGGATCCTGAGGTAGCACAGGGACAGCAGGGAGGGTTTCTGAAATCATCTGAGGGCAAAGGGGATTTGCCCTTCCTTTCTTCTAACCTTTCCCATGTCTTTGGCTGTGGTTAGTGCCTCTTTTCTCACAAATGCTGGCATTTCTTTCCACCTCAAATTTTCTGCTTAGAGACCCTTCGGACTTCTGCCACTCTCCCTATAGGCCAGTGTCTTCTATCTCTGACTTTCAAATCCCTATCAGATCTCACATTGCCCCAGAACCTGCTGAGACAGGATTTCCAAGTAAACTTATTACACTGTCTTGGTTTTCTGATCCCACAGTAATTTGGTTTGCATTTCAGAAAGAGGGAGAACAGTTGCTCTCCATCCTGCTGATGCCACAGAGAAAACTAGCACAGTGGGCAGGGCTTGGAAAGCGAGTGTGTAGATCCAATACCTGCCTGTGTGCCCTCTTTCCATGGGTTGCTTCTCACTGAGAGCCTCTTGAGTCTCAAACAGTGGACATCAGGCTGCAGTGCCCACCCCTATGCTCCTCACCCTCCCTCTAGGATAGAGACCTGGGAAAGGGCAACAGCAGGTTGCTCCTGCTGAGTCAGGGCCTTTCTGAGAACACAGGTGAGGCACAGCCAAGCCTGGATCTGTGGTTGTTTGAAGGCCTCTGTCTGGGTGCCTAGGGAGGAACCACTTCTGCATTTCCAGCTCCTAGTAGAGACCTGGCAGACTTTGGACATCCTGATGAGCTGTTCCAGAAGCTGGCTGGGGCTGTCTGCCAGGAACCCCGAAAGTTCTCTGCTCATCAGCATTTCATGTCTGCTGTGTCTATGCTCATGCATGGGAATGCCAAAGCCTAAGCATTAGGCATGGTTACTGGGCCCCTGGAGGATCTTAGAAATGTTCAGTGGTGCTTTTTCTCTGGGATTTGTGGCATTGGCCCTGAACAGGATTCATTGTATATACATTTATTTCCTTAAAGGAAATCCTGGGATCTGGGGCCACTGGGCAAGAAGCAATGGCAAGAGAGGGGTTGGGGGCTCTTTCTGTCATGGAGATTGGTGGTGAAGTGATCTTTCTGGGCCACAGCTGCATCAGGAACCTGGGATGAAACACCCAGGAAACATGGGGACCTTGTGCTATTGTTTTACTCTATGAGTTAAACTGACTTCTGTAGAAAACATTATGGAATAAAGCATACAGCTTACAAATGAACACTGAAAACTCAACTTTGTAATTTTCTAGGAATTTCTAGGAATACTGTTAACAATATTCAAATTCATTGGAATTTTTTTTAACTTTATTGCAGTGTGAATGCACAACATATAGATTTAAATTTCACAGTTTGGTAAGTTTTGGCACGTCTACACCTGTGAAACCATTACTTCCATCAGTATATTGAACATTTCCGTAAGTCCCAAAGTTGTAACCTTTGACAATTTCTTCTTCCCCCTTTCCAGTTCAGTTTGAAAATAAATGTGAAGCTTCAGTGTATTCAGAATAGTCTAATTGGTCCTCTAGAGTATTGTGCAGTAATAAGAAGATACATATTGATCTCTGCCCGATTCTTGACAGAAAGCTCCTGTAAACCTGGTAGTTAGGGGCAGCTAGAGAATCTGGGTCCTGATATTAATTCTTTCACTCTGGTTCCTAACACTGAGCTCCTAAGACCACTGTGTTTCCTGATGGATGGGGGCATCTTTGGTTTTAGCGAGGTGTCTCAGTAAGCCCCTGCATAGCTTGAGGAGGGAGGCTGGTCACAGAAAGGCCATAGCATGATTCAAGAATTGGAACTCAGGCTCCACCACTAACCTCCTAGGACAGAAGGGGCTGAAGGTTGAGTTGATCACCAGTAGGTAGAATTTAATCAGTCATGCCCATAGGATGAATCCTCCATTAAAATATCAAAAAACTTTGGGAATGTTGAACAATGGAGTTCCTAGAAGGTGGCATATCTGGAGTGGACATGGAAACTGCTCTCCTTCTGCATGCCTGGCTCTGGGCCTCTGTCCTGGCAAGTGTTTGTCTTTATCCCTTATATCCATGATTAATGTACCAGTAAACACCAGGAAGGTGTTCAGCTGCATCCTTTGAGCCCATCCTAGTACATGAATGGACCGCAATGAGGGCACCTTGGGAACCTGATTCACAGCTGCTTGGTGGGAAGTATGGGTGGCAGTCTTGCTTGTAACTGGCATGGCTGGGGTCCTGTGGGATTGAGATTTTAACCTGGAGAATCTGACATTATCTTAGATAGACATCATCAGAACTGAATTGCATTACATGCTACCTAGCTATATGATGGAGAATTTCTTTGGTTGGGGGAGGTACCTGTCACCCTCCTGGTGTCAGCTTTGTTGTGTTGAGTAGTGTGTAAGACGAGAGAGTAGGAAAAACATTTTGCTTTTTCCTTAGATGCCCATCTCCATGCTGTTACCTTTTAGGCCAGCTACTTTTCCTGGCTTCAAACCCACATGGTTATGTTTTTGTGGGACTTTGCCCAGCAAGACAGGCTCTTCATAACCCTTGTAGCCTTTCACCAGATTCAGTGTCTAGCCAGGCTCCAGTGCAGTAGCTCCAGGCTTGCATTTTTGGTGTTATCTTCTAGTAGAAGTTTGTGGTAGATTTCATGTGAATTGTGCAATGCAATACCAAGTGTAGGTATTGACTTTTACCTCCCCTGAAGGGCTGGCAAGTGATTGCTAGGAACATTCCAAGAAGATTGAGGTTGGAACACATGTTAATAGATGAAATGACTAGTATTTGGCCCTGTTGCAGAGGAAACGAAATGCAAAAATGTATGTGGACCTTGATGTCTAATAGACAGCCTGGTGTACACATCCTTCTTAATGTGAAATTATCAGCTCTTGGATGGACAAATTTTGTTGTGCTGAATTCTTTAGTGTGAGAAATAACCAAGTCCTCCCAAGGGAGTTTGGTGTGGAGCTTTGTCCAGAGAGCTCAGCTGCCAGGCCTTGGGTATATGTACACATGCACAAGCACACACACACAGATGCCAGCATCGTGTTGCACTAACAGAGGGGATGCAGGACTCAGAAAAAAATTGTAGGGACCTCTTTTCAAAGTGAGAGAGAACAGAATGAGCCGGAAACCACTAGAACTGCATGTGGAGGGTGACATCAGTGTCCGTGGTGGGTTTTCCTCTAGTGGAGCACATGTTTCTCCTTCAGTTGTTGCCATAATGTCTGCTCCACCCCTTCTACAGCTGGTCTGACTTAAAGCAATTACAGATGTGACCTAACCTAACTGGATGTGTAACAGAACAGCCGTTAGTAGACTTTTTTTTTTTTAATTTATTTTTATTTATTTATTTACAAAATCTCAACACAAGATTTTAGGAGAGTAACAATGGTTAGTACATTGTGTATTGTTACTGCCAAAGTAGTTTCTCATATCACAAGAATATAGGCAAGAAATAATAAATAAACAACATAGGTACAAACCTCTGTTGTTTTTTTTAAAGTCAACAGAAAATGGAAATACACTTTTTAAAGTTTCTAATACCAGGA